TCAAACAAAAAGCTGCGAAGAAACAGACATACTACATAGAGATGTCATGTGAGCTTGAAGCACCTATGAGGTGCATATCTTTGTTCTCAGCCCACCCTTTCAAATAAAACAAACTCGTGAGATGCTAATTCTGCCTCTGAATCTCATAGGGGAACCTCTGTTTGCTGTTCACAGTTCGGTCTTATGTAAGATTAGTCCAGGGTGAAATTGTACTTTCTGTTCTCCACAATGAATGTAGTTTTGCATTAAGACACACGCAGGGTTAAGCTGACTTTCGTCGTTTTATCTACGTCGGTAAGTATTGTGGGAAAGTAGAAAGCTCCACAATGCGATTACAGCTGACAGTAAACGCAGACCCTTGTCGCATACACTTCATCATTTTCAGTGATATAGTTATTCCTCTTAAAAATGCTAAAGAAGTTGCTGTTTTTGCACTGGACAACGGCCGTCTTACTTTTTTATTTACGTTGGTGCTTCTCTGTGGAAAACAAAAGGGGGAGGTGGTTTTTGGTTTGTTTTAAGCATAACAAAAATCCAATGAAAGCCCACCCATTGTTTAATGCGGTGTTGTTCAGGAATTCATTTTTCAATGTTTGTATTCCGCTTGAGTGATATCCAATTACTTCATAGAAGCTGACCACAGACCAGTCATCATGACTGTCGACACACCAAGCAGGAAAAGGCAAGAAACAAGGAAACGACGAGAAGTCGTGAATCTCAGAAATATAAATGACGATACCAAAGATAAGATACATGAACATATGAAAAATGTATTTCACGAATTGCCCAAACAACCGTGAGACATTGAAGAGGAATGGAGCCACTTCAAAGCATATGTGAACTAAGCATTAAAAGAAGAGTGCGGCACCAGAAAAACAGGAGGGCAGAAAATGAAAACAAAAACATATGGCGGAATGACCACGTTAAGGAAGCCATCCAACTGAAGAAAATGGTATTAAAAAAGTGGCAGAAATCAAAGACAGAGGAAGATTACATCCTATACAGAAAGGAACGCCACCAAACAACAAGGGTAGTAAAAGAAGCTAAACACAGATCCTGGGCAGTTTACTAATATGGAGAACACCTGGCAACGAAATGTAAAGAAGACCCCACAGAGTTTTACAAGAGCGTTAAAAGCATGAGTGTGCGGGAAGAACCATTCAACCCAACTGAAATAGTCAATGATAAGAACGGCAACCCTATTTTTAGTAAGCCAAAGATTAAGGAAAGATGGAAACACTATTTTTTTTCTTCCAAAACAGCTCCTTACCAATAGAAACCACCCCAGAACCATCAATCATGCGGTGAGAAATCTAACATGTTATAAAGAAAACCCCCACAAACAAAGCGCCAGGCGTTGATAACATCACAGCAGAAGAGATAAAGCTATGAGGACTTATCGGTGAGCTTTGGCTATGAAGGATATTTAATCTAGCCAGGGCAACAAAAACAACACCCATTGACTGGCAACGAGCTGTCATTGTACCTATTTGGAAAAAGAAAGGTAACAAAAGAGACTGTGGAATCTAGAGAGGAATGACCCTTCTCAGCATGAGGATAACTGTTTGCCAAGATACTGGAAATGAGAATGAGACCAATTGTAGAGACCCAACTCAGTGATCCCAGTTTTGCTTTAGAAAATGCAAGGGCTGTACGGACGCTAATTTTGCATTAAGACAGTTTGTGAGACTGCCATTGCACATGACAAAGACCTCAATATTGTCTTCGTCGACCAGGAAAAGGTGTTCTACTGTGCAGGTAGAAGTCAACTTTGGGAGGTTTTACAGGAATAATAGTTTAACAGAACAATTGCTGGAGAACACCATGACACTTTATAAAAATAGCTAGTGTGCCGTAAGATCAACAGAAGGATTATCCGACTGGTTCCCCATCAGGTCTGGTGTGAGACAAGGGTGTGGTCTACTCCGCTTCTCTTCATCACTTACATGGATAAGATCACGAAAGCAGCAAATGACAACATCACTGAACTGAACGACGTTCTATATGCTGATGACCAGAGTATATTTAATACAGTTGAAGAGGAATTACAAAAACACACCAAAAAACTAAATGAGGAATGTAAGCACCTAAACATGAAAATCTCCATTTCTTAAACAGAAGTTATAAAGGTCAGTAGAAACCCAGGGTAACTCAGCATCTCTATTGACAGAACACGACTCCAACAAGTAGAAGAATTTGAATATTTGGGAACCATCTTTACACAAGATGGGCAATTGGGCAAAGACATAGAAACAAAAACTATGAAGGCAAATTCAATGACCCACCAGCTAGCACCCCTGATCAGTCATAAGAACATCCCGACCGAAGTGAAATCCCAGCTCATCAATAGCATCTTCATACCAACATTAACATACCAGTGCCAAACATAGTCTCTGAACAAGGCACAAGTCTGCAAAACTATTAAGGTTACCAGAAGAGACGGAATACCACCAGTAATAATATTCATAGAGCGTCAAAGAATCACATAGTTTGGACATTTAACCAGAATGCCCCAGAAACAACTAGCGGCTAGAGCTTACAACACCTGAGAACCCAGATTCAAATCAAGAGGAAGACCTAGAAAGAGCTGGCTGGATGGGGTTAAAAAGGAACAACATAACATATTTATCACAGACGCTATACACCTAGCACAGGACCGAAACATGCACCTCCCCTCGACATCCTAAGGATACCAGAGGAAGGAAAACGTATAGGTAAAAGTAAGTATTTCGCGTACGACGCAGTATTCTTTTATTTAGAATTTAACGCTGTGTCTAGAAAGTATCTAGTCTGTATCACAACTATTGACACGTTGCTCGATAATGACAGAAAGAAGGACAATAATGAAGAGACATAAAGTCTACTTTAGTTTGAACAAAGAAAAGTACACTGGCACATCTACGGGCATTTAAGACTAATTACCGCACTGATGGGCAACTCTTTAAACTTCGGAGGCTGCAGGCGAAGACCAAAGTCTATGAAGGCATAGCACGCAATTTCCTCTTTGCAGACGACTGCCTGATTAATGCCAGTACACAGTCCGACATGCAGGGAAGCGTGGGCCGTTTTTCCAAAGCCTCCACAAAGAAGACCGAAGTACTGTAGCCAGCTCCATCGGCTCCTTACACAAATCACCAATTTACCATCTACAGCCAGAGACAGGCAGGGGCAGATAAGTTTGTTTACCTTGACAGCACCCTCTCTCAATCGGTCAACATCGATGAGGAAGTGGCCAACAGAACTGCCAGAGCTAGTTCAGCCTTCTGCAGACTGAAAGACAAGGTTTTGGAGTGAAGAGGATTGAGCCTTAATGCCAAGCTCAAAGTATATAAAGATGTAGTTCTACTTTACCTGCTTTACACCTGCGAAACGTGGACAGTCTACATCCGGCATGCCAAGCAGCTCATTGCTTTCCACATGAGATGCCCCAGGACCCTGCTTCGTACCAAGTAGCAAGACAAAGTCCTAGACACTGAGGTACTGCAGCGGGCCAAGATGGAGAGCATTAATCTACGCTATCCTACTGAGCTCTCAGCTTCGGTGGGCCGGCCACGTTCACCGCATGGACAACTCGCGCCTCCCAAAGAGAGCTATGGTGAGCTGACTCTAGGCAAACGTTCTCTTGGCGTACAAAAAAAAACCGCTTCAAAGATGCTCTGAAAGCATCCCTGAAGAGATGTGACATTCTTCATACCACTAGGGAAAAAGCCGCTCTCAATCGCACAGTTTGGCGCTCTTTAGTAAGATCGGGAGTTGCCAAATTCGAAGAGAGACGCTTCAGGGAAAAAAATGGAAACGGCAGTTGAGAAAAGACTTTCCAGTCTAGTTCAGCCCTAAACATCCCCTGGAAGCAATCTAAGCCCCACCCAGCGTTTATTCCACCCACCGCCACTGCCTCCTCATCTCCTTTGACCCTCCTCTGGGATCCTGACTCTCTCTGCAGCCTTTCTACTGTTACTCCTTGGCTCCTTTTTATTGCTGTCTTTTAGCCACACCAATGATCTTATGGTAGGTAAGATCTAACACCTAGCCTTCTCGAATAAGGGCGAAAAATGTCGAAGGTCCCGTGTGCAAGTTGCGTGCGTTAAAGATCCCTTGGTGGTCCAAAATCGATAAGAGAAGGCTTCAGCCGCCATCAGGGCAAAATTCAAAATTTACTTCCAATTGAAAATGTTTAGTGTGTCCTGCGGGCTCATATGACCTTATTCAGTAGCGAGCGCCGTAAAACACGTACCGAAACAAAAAAAGAAAAAAGAAAAGAATTTAGCCTGCACTCACTTGTCGCTATCCCGTCCCCTTCACGATGACTGTATAGGGATATAGAAGTTGTAAGGAGTACGATATGTTTCCAAGGAAGTTGAATTTTTTTCAGAAAGCTATCATGTCTGCTAGGGTAATGATATGGACTGTAAACTTGCTGTTGAGCGGGACGTTTGCGTATACAAAAGCTGTCAATTATTATTATTATTATTATTATTATTATTATTATTATTATTATTATTATTATTATTATTATTATTATTATTATTATTATTATTATTATTATCATTGTTATCATTGTTATCATTATTATTGTTATCATTATTATTATCATCATTATTATTATCATCATTATTATTATTATTATTATTATTATTTTTATTGTTATCATCATTACCATTCCCGTTAAACTCGGGTCTTAGGTCACAGGATGCGTATAAAATGTGCAGTTCAGCACTTTGTGTATTCTTTATCGAAAAAAAAATATAGATCCATTTCGTATGACGTCACAAGGACAATTTCTGCTCAACTTTTTGCTGAGAAATATTGTTCTTTGTGTTGACGGTTGTCTCTGTATAAGATAGGGGACCTCTTTTAAGCAAACAACACACACACACGGGGACTTTTGTTTCCAGCATGCACGAATAGTATTGTACTTCTCACTATGCGTGCTGTGTATTCGTTTTTGCCCCCTATAAGCCATTGTTAGGATTTCTTTATGGGCTAAAATGTAACGCTGTCGTGTTTACTTTCTGCAACGTCAACGCTACTGTTTTATATATAAGACCTCCCAACATAGAGATAGTGCCATCTTACAGCTACGACACAACCTGCAAGGCAAAATGGTAAGTCTGGAGTGTGTTGTGATATTGCTTGTACTTTTACAGATTTTGCACAATAATTTTATCTTCTCATATACTATTGTATTCATCTTTTCACTTCCTTCCTCTGTCCTCAGTTGGCTATGTTTAATGGTCCTCTTTTTGGTCTCTGTAACAGATTTCAGGAAGTTTGTAATTACCCAATTCTTATTCCCACAATTTTATTTTTGGTCCGTTTACTTGTTTTGAAAATCTAGGATTTGAACCCAAAAAATGAAAGAAAGAAAACAGACAAAATCAGCTATGCTTTTCTGTGTATGATGGCATGAATTATTGGTTCTTTTTCGTTTTATTTTGACTCGATTGTGTTACGAGGAATAACATAGGAAGGCCTACTACTTATAACTTATATGCACTGCATTGTCTTTTCCCTTTCTTTCGTTTATTAGTCGCTTATTCATAAGATATATGTTGTGTTACTTCGTGTTAAATCAAATTCAGAACATACATAGTGGATACCTATGAGGGCAGGGCGTTTGATCCCGGTATTGACATAAGGGTTACCGAAAATTTATTCCAAGAAGAACAAAAAGAACCAGAACATTCAGCACCCCATTCTACTTCAAGCCTACAGTTCTCGTAATCAGACCAGGGCCTTAATCTGTTGCGCTAAGCAGCGAGCATGCATTATGATTACGAAGTGTTGCATTGAGAAATGTACACCACTAGTGTTACTTCATCATTTGTCTTACTTTTACCGCCAATACACATTAAAAAGTATACCCAATCTAAAATGACCTTTGAAACAAAATACCCCTTTCTAAAATGACATTTGAAACATTGCTATCTCATGGAATATACCCAACAGCTTCTTTATTGATACCATGATTAAAAATAAGTTGAAATCACGATCTAACATTGGTCGATATCATGGTGTCTGAGATCTGAAGACTTTTTGTTATTTTTCATTATCTTCCACGCTTGTTCTTTCTGTGGGCTTCTAAAGTTTGAAATTGTGTCGTGGTGTCATTCGTACAAGCCACTTTTTTCGATCACCCTGCATGGATCGATGAAGTTGGTTGTATAATAATTTATTTTTTTTTTTAATTTTAAATTTTAATTAATTAATTAATTTTTTTTTGGGGGGGGGGCGGGAGGGTTTCTTTCTCGTTTTTTTCCCTTTGCCTGCTGGGGTCTGATTTATAGTGTTATGAGCGTTAGCTAGTTTTGCTCATTGACTCCATAATAAAAAGTTCGGCCTAACCCGCTTTGATGAGGCTTGCCTTGTAACCGTTTACCATTTATTGTCTTTGCTGAACTGGTCACGTAGAAAAGCTTCTTAACTCTAATGATGAGAACAACGAGTCAGTGGAATGTTATAACAATTTTATCAATGTTTCTTTATCTGTTTTAGAACGCCAAACTGATCTGTGCACTCCTCGCGGGAGCTGTTATGCTAGTGTCTGTCTGCACAGCAGAGGACAACAGGCTAAAAAGGCATTACAGCCACCATGGTAAACATTATTTTTTGTTGTTGTTGTCGTTTGTTTGTTTGTTTGTTTGTTCGTTCGTTTTGGGGGGAGGGTTGGGGTTGAGGTGTCTTTGTTGTTGTTTTCTGTTTGTTTGTTGTTGTTGTTGTTGTTTTTGGGTGCTTTTTTAGGGGGGGGTTTGGGGTGGGGGGGGGGGTGGGTAGGGAAAGAGAGGAAGGCCGAGATCCACCTGGAAGCGAGATCTTACTTTGCTTCTGGCTGTTTGATTATTTGAGTAAAGATAGGCCCATCGACACAGTGACGGTTATTCAGGGCAGGGAAAAGGTAAACAGACAGAAACAAAAGATTGGAATTAAGAAGTAGGACCTACCAGTGGAACACTCCAACCACCCGTGAGCGAGATCTAGAGCCAGATCTCAGACATAATTATGGGACAGCATTGGTAGGAAGTGGAGAAGATCGCCCAGAACAAAGACAGGTAGAGAGCGGCTTATACCCAATACCAGGGTAAAAGTGAAAGAAGCGAATGTAATGATGACGATAAATTAAATGCTATGTGTAAAAAGGTGTTAGCGCATATCTGTCAAACAACTTGCTCTACTAGATGCAATGTTGACATGCATACGTCATGTGGTGATCTGTTTTCTGAGTTTGTATCACACAGGACTGGGATCGAGACTCCGACGTGATACTTTAAAATTGGAGCTCCCGTGTCAGTTATCGTAACCCGTGATCACATGATTCGCTCCAGTGGCATATAACGGACGTTTAATGAGAGAAAGCCAACCATTCTTATGTCATGGCGTTGCTTTGTTGAAAGGTGTGTTAAACCATGCTTTTCTGTATAAAGATTGAACTATTTCACCCACATCGTATATATCAATATATTTGCCTGTGGCACCAACCATAATCGTTTCTTTTATCTTGCTGAAAAAAAATGTCAATAGCGAAGTAGAACTGAAATTTTGAGAGTAATGGTCCCATAGGTCGTTTGGTGGTCAAAGAAGTCTAAATCAAGCCTCTTTAGGTAGGCTAGTCTTATAATAAAAAATTCGTCGTATGAATATCTTCCAGATATAACGGGAGAATGGCGCTCACAACAGCTTGTGTTAACAAGCCACAAATTTTATTAACCCTGTACAGACCAGATCTTCGGAACAAGTATATATTATTTTAACAACCGTTTACCTAAGCACACTTTGAGGCGACGATGTGTCTTTTTTTAAAATCGTGTTCCATAACAGCTAAACGTTGAAGATATTTTACATGTAAAATGTTATATAACTTCAAATGCTCAAGTCTCCATCAACTCTTTGTTTTTCGTTTTTGTATTCCTGTCATGCATGTAACAATTATTTTTTTAAAATATATTCTGGGTTTACAATGATGATGATCATCATCATCATCATCTCATGACGACGTCGTAAAATCTCCTCAGGAAGCTACAGGCGGCCACCATACAACAGATATCCCTACCCCGGCCGCAATCCGGGCACCAACAACCCAGGCACTAACAACCCTGCTGTTGGCCTTCCCATTGGTCAACCAACAACCGTCAACCAGCCAGCCCAAGGTCCAGTCACCATCAACTTGACCGCTCAGCAGGCTCAGCTTTTGCGATCTATCCTTGCGCTTCTTGGGAATGCAGGTAAATGGTTAATGATAATAATTTTAATAATAATTATATTTGATATAGCACATTGTTCTTTTTTATAAAAGGAGGTAAACGCTTGATTATTTACATGCAATTGCTGCATATAGAACACGGAGGAACTATTTTTTGTTATTGTTTAGATCGTGCTAATTCGCGTATTTTCGTGAGTATTTATTAATGGTATTCATATGCACGTATTCATTGTCTCCGCATGTTAATTTTTTTTTACCTATTTCTATTCTGATTTTACTTCATTATCTACTCTTTTAAATGTGTTTACTCGTACGAAATTGTATTGCTCCTATGCTGTGGTTGTTGTTGTGGGGTTTTTTTCAAGTATCACTTTTAGCTTTATGTGTGACCTAAGGATAGTTATGTCTGCTCATTTATTTAAAAAACTCTTTTATTTCATGTACTATTATTACTATTTCATTAGACCTACCTCTTTGGTGAAAGGAGAGGGAGGTATAATTGAGTTTAGCATTGCACCTGCATTCTGTCAGCAACAGAATGGGATAATAGTATTAATAGCAACATTATCGAGAAGCAGTAGGAACAGACCACATTCGAACGCCTATGACCAACCATTCTGTCTTATTCTTGTTTCAAACCAATGATGCCAGTGGTTAGAGGGACAGTGGTACTGAATAATGCGAATCTTTTCTTACACAATTTACATTTTAAAAACTTGTCTGTCCTTTTTTGGTGCGTTGTAGAGAGCGAAGAGCGGAGGCCATGACAGTGCGTCGTCCAGGATTACAAGTCTATGAAATAAAACATATAGATCTCTTAAGATAACCAAACCCTTCACATTTTAATATTCTCTTCCAGGAGCAGCACCAGCAGGCAAATAAACAGAAGGCTCACCTGAAGGAATTCTTGGATTTAGGACCACAGCTATTTTGGCCATAACGTTGATGACGTCAAAGTTTCACTCCTACTGCAGATTTGTTGAGCTCGAACGGTCAGCCGTGGAAAAAGCTGGACCTGGCAATGATCCTTGAATAAAGCGAATAATCATAACATTTATTACAGGGGTTTTTATGCTTGTCATTTGGTAAAGTAACAATTTATTTGTATCCTGTCAATAACCTCTATGTTCTATATTTCATCAACTGTCTCGTCTGACTCCCAGAGAGAGGTGACGTGAAAGTTTAAAATAAATACGAGCCTGTCTGTCAGGCTTATTCTTGTAAAAAAGCGAAAAAGAACAACTGAGGCTAGTTCAATCAAGATCATCTACTGGAATGGAGCAATAAATATTGAGAGATGCAAAAAATTAGAAGGTCTAGATCTATACTCTCAAAACGAAATGCGCCTCCCGAAATATCACTCCCCGCACTTCTTCTGTGGAGGATAGCTACGCAGATTTGTTTCGTTTCTCAGTGGAATAACTACAAAAGCCAAAGAAGGACGGGAACTTTTGGTTAAATATATTTGTTTAAATTCAGAAAATGAATCAATAAAAAATCAGGCTCGTCATGGAGACCTATATCTATCTTTTTGCAGGTAGTTGCCAACTTCCAACTCTGTAGCTTTCGTAGTTTTATGGGAAAAGTGACACATGTGTTTCCAAGTTGCCAAATATATAATAGATGTATAGATGTAAGATCAACTACAATTGTTAAGGCTAGTTTCAATAAAAATGAGCCAAATCCTGAAAAATAGAAACATGTCAATGAACACCAAAATAAACGTCCTGAAATGCTGTTTGGTCAACCCGCTGTGAATGCTGGACAATCACTAAAGACTGAAAATAAAATAGAAGCAATAGAAATGTGGTTTCTTAGGAGACTGCTAAGACTAAGAGTATCGTGGAAGGAAAAGAAATCAAATGAGGTAGTGCTTGATGAAGCCCACGTGGGACGCTCAATGTTAAAAACAATCAGGAAACGACCGATGCAGTTTTTGGGACACCTGAATAGACATAAGGGTCTTGAACATCTAGCTCTCAATGGCAAAATTGAGGGCAAGCGAGGCAGGGGTAGGCCCAGAACAACATACTTAGGGAACCTAAACAAATGGGTAACAGGGAAAGATCAGGGAAACGTAGCTTTTTTAAAAGCATCCGAGCAAAGGAATGAATGGAAAACCATGATCGCCGATGTCTGTCGCAGATCTGGCACTGGATGATGATGTATAGATTGATTCTCTATTCCGCTTTCGTAAAAATGAGAGAGAGTTTTGAGAGTATAGATCTAGACCTTCTAATTTTTTGCATCTCTCAAAATTTATTGCTGCATTCCTGTAGGGTGTATATATAATATATATAGTACTTATTGCCCTCATTCATAGATGGTGACTGTTGTGGTTGGTTCTAATAATTGTGGTTGCCGTATCGCTTACGGTGAAGAGGAATATTTGTCCCATTTTGTCTGCTGATGGTAAAAAATTCCCTACTTAACTTATGATATAATACTTTTTTTTAAATCCCTCACACACCTTGAATTTTTCAATCGCAAGAGACGACGGCAAGACGTTTCTAGCGTGAAGATCCAGACATGAAGGATGGACAGTCAAAAGTTTCCTTTTCTACTCCCCCCCCCTGTCTGGTTCTTTAGCTAAACATCAGCTACCACCATGCATGTTGGGACAAGCACGTATCCCAAGGCGGAGGAGAGTCTGGTTCGGCAATACATCTTCAGAAAATAAATCTTTCAGAGATTTTTTTTTTACATGTTGATGGCACAACTAATTTTTAAAGGACAAAAATATGCGTTCCCTGAAGTCCCTTCTTGAAAATTACAAGGACATTGCGGATGAATGTGGGTATGCAGTTGATGATATGAAATCAGCATATCGGTCAAGAATCTGAAGGAAAAAAATCTGTAACGTCCAACAAATTATGGTTTAGCTTTAATGCTGATTTACTATGCACGTGGAGAAAAGGCAAGCACAGTCTTTAACATGGGCATACGCATGCACGGTGTCAAAAGGAGCAGAAATTTGACCTATACTCTTCTCAAACGTGATGCTGATACATAATGTGTCAGCACCTGGACTGTGTGGATTTGCAGGATATAAAAACATCCTTTACGTCTCCACAAGAAGTTGCCGATAAAAAAATCTGCTATTGTCATCGTTGGTAAGGATGATTCAAGGCCGATGCATTATGTGGTGATGTGACTCGGGCTCGTAAGACGAAATATATTTACAGTTTTAAGAAATTAAGCCAGTGAAAGAAATTATAACAACCAAGGTCCCCTACTAGTAATAATGAAAAACGAAGTCACTGCGAAGTTGAAGATTAATCGATCTAAATGTCCAAAGGGAAGTGATAGTGAAACAGCAGTCCAACAGTTTTGCCAACAAATTTCAATTGTCTAGTTACCAGGATGGAACAATGTATTGTGGAGGTAAAAAAAATGGATGATGTCAAACAGACTTAAAATGAATGATGATAAGACCGAAGTTCTGTTTACATAGAGATAGATACATACACACACAGTAGATGGGAGATTTCACACAGAAATTAAAAGCGCTTTTGCCAAGCAAAAGACATTCACAAACATCAATCTGTTACTGGAAACAAGAAAAAGAGAACTGAAAAGTTACATTGAGCCAATCCTATTTGATGAGTGCGAAAGATGGACAACCAATAGACAGCTGAAAAAAACAATTGAGGCGACAGAACAACCTGCGTAACCCATGGACAGCTAGAAAAACAAATGAAGAAGTCTTGGTTGAAGCAAATTGCAGACGGCAGCTATTACGAATATACGAAAGCAACAGGCAAATTTCATTGGACACACAATACGAAAAGAAGCGTTGGAGAATATTGTAACAACAGGCAAGTTTGACAGGAACAGAGGCAGAGGCAGACAGAGGGAAAAGATACTGGACATGTTGACAACATGGCTTGGAGCAGCAAGAACAACAGACACCATTGCTGAAACGCAATACAGATGGAAGTGGAGGTCCATGATCGCCCACGCCAGTCGGCAAGGCACCGGATGATGATAATATATTTATAGTACGATCCTCACATCAAAAAGATAATATATGTGGCTGAGAAAGATCTGCGACCACGGGAAAGCAACAAAAAAAAAGTCCAATTTAAGAAAAATGCGGCATAAGGGTTTCTAGAACTGAACCGTCGAATTGTAACGACGGTGACCTTTACCTCTGCTTTGTCGACCACACTAAAACTTATGACAGAGTGAGATGTGAAGAACTACTCAACATGCTAATAGATTTGAACATAGATGGAAAAGACCTAAGAGTTCTGAGAAACTTTTAAATAGGAACAACAGGCAGCTATCAGGGACGAGAGCGAGCTTAGCGATCCGAATACAGGCCAATCGACAGAGAAATACGACAAAGATGTGCCGAATCTCTGGATCTTTTACATTTATGATTCTGCAAAATGATACTGCGTAACGTCAGCAATCGGGAAAGAGTCGCGATAGGGCGGCCATAATGTAATATGAGCAACATACCGGTACGATGTGGATACAGTCTTAACAGCTGATTCTGAGCTCAAGGAGATTCTAAAAGAGTGTGAGAGAAAAGAAAAGAGTAGGAGAAGGGGCTACACTTAAATGAAGGGAAAACGGAATACATAGTGATCTCCGTCAAAATCTTTAGATGCCTTGGTTGCATACTTAGATCTACCTCAGAGCCAAAGAATGACACAGTCATAAAAACACGAATATTATTATTGCAATATCAAAAGAAACATTCAAGGAAATGAAGCATGTTTTCTCAAAGAAAAACATAACAGTGAACGCAGAAATAAGAACACTGAAAGTATATGTCTGGTCAATCCTGCTGCATGGATGTGAGCTCTGGACTCTTAATAAAAACAGACGAACTATTCCGCGTCTGGGAGGCTGCGGTTTTCCTGCTCTGTAATGTTTGTGTCTTTTTCGTATCTTGTGGATGGAATGGGGTTTGTTTTGTTGTTGTATTTTTACGGTGCTCGCAACTGCATAA